GCCCGCCGCTACCGCCCGCCCTTGCGCGCGCTCTCGCCCCGCCCGTGGCCCAGAGCGGGCGGGCAGAGGATCGTTGCCTTGCGGGCGGGCCACTCACCTTCGTCCAGTTCTCCTTCCCTCCCTGGCGTGCGCCTGTCGCCACAGCGTTTTTGCAGTTTCCCGGGTTCTCGCGACCGTCCCCCAGCTCCCCGCCTCCTACCCGCCGCCCTTACTCTAGCTTCCCCCACCCTCTCCCTTTGCTCGATTCCACCGGAAAGCCAAAACAATTGGGGCCGCGCAGGCGCGAAAAAGGAAACGGAAAGAGCAGGAAGGGCGGGGGCGGTGCGACGGGACTGGAAGATTAATTGATGGGGGTTCCCGGAGAAGGTCAGGGGAGAGCTGGCGAAAGGCGCGTGCGCAGAGGAGGGGTCTCCCCGAGGAGAGCAGGGCTGGCGAGACCCTGCCGCCCTGACCGAGGCATTGGGCTTGGGTGGTAAAAGGAAGTCAGTTCTAGGAAATCTGGAGACGAAAACACCAAATGTTAAGCGGTAGGAGGTCTTTTCCTCTTGAAATTTCCTCTGAAATACAGATACTTGCAGGCTGGGTTGAAGAATGGGAGGGAGTAGGACCTAAAACAGTACCAGACCAGGGAAAAGAGGCGGGGGGTGGGGGGGAACTGGGCGACTCGCTGGGTGGGCTCTGTCTCCTCTGTCCCTCCTCCAAGAGCGCCCTCCACTTTCCAGAGCACATTCAATTTTCCTGTTTCCAAGGAAAAACAACGTAGCGCTCGAAAGGGCTCGGAGTTCGGGGGTAAGGAAAGAGAAAGGGAGATAGAAACGTTTGGGTGCGGACATGCAGCCTGCAATTGGTTTTGTGCTGCATTGCGGCGGCTCCCTCCTCTTAGCTCAGCAAATTCCATAGGTCTGCTTTTAGAAAGTGAAGTGTTTGTAGCAGCAGCAAATGACTGTGGCTCGTACTGGTTTGGATAACTGGGCACACCTTGCTACCACAAGGGCATAGATTTTGCTCTCTCATTTGCTAGATGTTAACGGGTAGTTTAAAAAAAATTGTCACAAGTACTCACACAGACTCCACCTACCTTCCTTTCACTCTTGGCACAAACCCAATTAGAATGTAATGACTTAAGTATAAGCTACATGCACATAACGTTACCGAAGATATTAGATCAGCTGAATGGAAAAGATTTCTTTTACAGTAGAATTCGGAAGCCAGATTCATTCACCAAATCTTTATTGAGTTTCCAGTTTGCTATCGCTGTGCTTAGTGTGACTAAAGGTTTTAAGTGGTTAACATTAAACAGTTAAAAGCCATACAAACGATTCAGTCATTTAATACTTGAGCACCTACTATGTGCCAGACTGGACATGGGGATGCAAGATCTAAACAAGAAGATAGAAACAATATCTATGGTAGGGGACCAGCAGTTAGTGTAATGGCTATGTCGCTGGACTCCCACGTAGTGACCATGGTTCGCGTCCTGGACCCTGTGGCTTAAAACTCACGCGGGGCGCGTGTGCGTGTGTGCCCAATATCCCAAGAGGAGTATGGAGGAAAAGGGATTGTGGCGTGGCCATCCCCCCTGGGTGGTGATTTCTTGCTTTCTGTCTCTCTGTCTCTCTCTGTCTGGCTGGCGAGCACACGCGACCTATAGCGAAAAAAAACCTCTCAAAAAAAAAAAAAAAAGATAGAAACAATACCTATGGTAAAAGATTTGTGTTTTATCCTGTAGGCAATAGGGAGCCGTTTACGAGATTTATTTATTTATGTATAAAACTGCATCATTATTTTACATACTATAATATCAGAACAAGATAAAGCCCACAATACACAGCATCCAACCATGTTGTCAAGTTAGGAAGTGGTTGACACTTAATCCCTTTATTTCTTGCCTTACACACAAAGAAGAGAAAAAAAATACAACACTAGACAACAAAAGGAGCCATGTGGGACAGAGCCACTGAGAGCTGTTTGAGCCATGGAGCGCTATACAGAGGGCACAAGTTTCCCAGTAGAAACTCCTAATCTGTGTACTTCCATGTGTGATGTGTCCTCATCACTCTTAAGAGGGGGAATCTCGGACCGGCAGTTAGTGTAATGGCTATGTCACTGGACTCCCACATAGTCGACTGCAGTTCGAGTCCCGGATCTGGTGGCTTAAAACTCACGCTGGGTGTGTGTGCATGCGTGCATGCCCAAGATCCCAAGAGGAGAATGGAGGAGAAGTGATTGCGGCGTGGCCATCCCCTCAGGGATGTTTTCTGTCTCTCTCTCTGTCCCTCTGTCTGGCGAGCGCATGCGCCCTATGGCAAAAACCTCTGAAAAAAGGGGGAGGGATATCAGGAACAGCAGCAATGGGTTCCTCTGCTATCACTTCAACAGTGATCAGGCCCAGGTTGATCATGCAATAAATATAGTTGGAGTGGGTCTGGAAATCCTCCAGGGAGAAGACAGAAGAGAGTAATGCAGTTTCTGCCAGGCGTGTGTGCCTGCGTGCCCGAGATCCCAAGAGGAGAATGGAGGAGAAGGGGTTGCACAGTGTGGCCATTCCCCGGGGTGGGTGATTTCTCATTTTCTATCTCTCTGTCTCTTCTTTCTGTCGAGCGCACGCACCCTATAGCAAAAACCTCTCCAAAAAAGAGAAAAAAAGAGTAGTGCAGTTTCAAACAGCAGCACCAAGTCCTTGACAGCTTTATGGTTTTCGTCTGCCTCATCTCTCTGCTATAGCATCTACACAATGGAGTGGTTGGGATTGATCTCCAGATGCTTTTTGGCTGTCATGTAGCCAGCTGTAGAGTTGTCTTGAAGTGCAACTTGGGGTTTCATGATCCATTCCATGTTGGCTGTCCAGCCACAGGTGCTGGTCACAATGCAGCAGGGTAAAGACAAGTCTGTTGGAGAAGCTCACCTTTATTAAACACACAAACAAAAAAGATGATTTTTATTTTATTTTATACATTCAATCACTATAGCTTGTAAAGTGAATTACCCAAAATGAATACACTTCACTTAAGGATACTATAGACACTATCAACAACAGATAATAATCCACCTCTGTGTCCTATAAATGTCTTGCCTTTCTACTTTTCTCCTTAATTTTTTCACTTGTATGTGCCCCTTTCTCTCACCCTTTTCCCATACTTTTATCAGTATCCCTAACCATTTTTCATCCTTCTGTATCCTCTAGTCTTTCAATTTCCACCATAGAGTACCGACAGCTGGTGTAAAGTGGAGACATACAATGTTGCTCATAGCCTGGTGGGTTTCATTCAGCAGTAAATTTTCTATATTTGTCCGCCTTCTATGAAATGCCAGGATACTGTTTTTTATGGCTGAGTAGTATTCAATAGAGTATATGTGCCCCACTTTTTCAACCCTTTCATCTGTTTGTGGATATTTGGGTTGGTTCCATGTCTTAGCAATTGTGAATAATGCTGTAAGAAAAATAGATGTGCAACTACTTTTCCAACTGAGTGTTCTCCTGTCCTTTGGGTAGAGATACAGGAGTGGAATTGCTGGATCATATGGTAGTTCTATTTGTAGATCTTTGATGAACCTCTATATTCTCCACAGTGGCTGGACCAATTTACTTTCCCACCAACAGTGTAGGAGAGTTTTCCTTTCACCACAGTTACCTCTTTTTTTTTTTGGAAAGGTTTTGCTATAGGGTGCGTGCACTTGCCAGAAAGACAGACAGAGAGATAGAAAGCGAGAAATCACACCCCGGGTGGAAGCCACGCCCCAAATCCCTTCTCTTCTATTCTCTCAGGATCTTGGGCATGCATGTACATGTGTCCGGTGTGAGTTTAAGGACTCAAACCATGGTTGACTACATGGGAGTTCAGCGACAT